CTCCTTACTCTCACTCTCCTCACTCTCACTCTCCTCACTCTTACTCTCCTCACTCTCACTCTCCTCACTCTCACTCTCCTCACTCTCACTTTCCTCACTCTCACTCTCCTCACTCTCACCCTCCTCAATCTTACTTTCTTCACTCTCACTTTCCTCACTCTCACTCTCCTCACTCTCACTCTCCTCACTTTCACTTTCCTCACTCTCACTCTCCTTACTCTCCCTTTTCTCACTCTTAATCTCCTTACTCTCACTCTCCACTCTCTCACTCTCCTTACTCTCACTTTCCTCACTCTTACTTTCTTCACTCTCACTCTCCTCACTCTCACTTTCCTCACTGTTACTTTCCTCACTCTTACTCTCCTCACCCTCACTGTCCTCACTCTTAGTTTTCTTACTCCCACTATAGTTACTCTCACTCATCCTCACTCTCACTCTCTTCACTCTCACTTTCCTCACTCTCACCTTCCTCAATCTCACTCTCCTCACTCTCGTTCTCTGCACTCTCACTTTCCATAATCTTATTTTCCTCACTCTCACTCTTCCCATTCTCACTCTCCTCATTCTCACTCTCCGCACTCTCACTCTCCTCACTCTCACTTTCCTCACTCCTACTTTCCTCACTCTCACTCTCCTCACTCTCACTCTCCTCACTCTCACTCTCCTCACTCTCACTCTCCTCACTCTCACTTTCCTCACTCCTACTTTGCTCACTCTCACTCTCCGCACTCTCACTCTCCTCACTCTCACTCTCCTTACTCTTACTTTCCTCACTCTCACTCTCCTCACTCTCACTCTCTTTACTCTTACTTTCCTCACTCTCACTCTCCTCACTCTCACTCTCACAATCGTTACAATTGGCAGGTGCAAGTGATGTTCATCGACTAGTGCCGGTACTTCTCTAACTTAAGTTTTCGTCAGGACGACAAGCATAAGACTTCTTTCCTTCTTACTGTTTTCTCAAGAATATTATTTTTAGCCACTGTTTGGAACTACAAAAGGAGAACGGTTTGCTCTCTGCCCAGTGGGCGTTTCGATTCGAAGGATTTCTCGATAAAATAGGGCGCAGTTGATCACGTGATGTGGTAAAAAAATAGTTTTAAAAATGAAATTGGAAGATTTCTAATGATTGACCTTAAATTGTAAGTCATGGAATAGCTTGAAAATATTTTACATTATATTACCCCCTTTAAACTTTCTGAGAGATCTTTAAATCTGTTGGAGGATGGACAAGATTCTCCCTTTGTGGGCGTGGCTGTGATTCCGTTTCTCTCCACGGACCAAACTAATCTATGACAACTTATTACATTTCCTCTTGCACTTTTCCTTCTGTTGGCTTTCTTCCTGGCTTCTATCGTAAAAAGCTACCAGGATAATGTGACGATACACTTTACAACTCCCGTCCGTCGTCACACTTGAAAGAGTGTCCCTAAAAAAGTCCTAAGACGACACACATAACACCAAATAGAGCTATCAATTTCATTTTACCTCAAGAAAGACATTTAAGACATCGCTGACTGTTTTGTAGGTTAATCTCTCCATATTCTGGTCAGCCTTACTACTACTCTGTACTAGTTTGACAGCCACACCTGGCTACAACGCCTTCAATCATTTCAATATAAGGCTGCTTGCGCTTGCCAGTCATAGATGCTACATCTAGTCTAAGGCAGCACAGATGTTCTGCAGTGTTCGTATCGAAAACTTCGCTAGCTTAGACTGATCTACGATTTCACAGATGTTGTATATCTCGTACATGATGGGATGCTGAGGAGCTAACGCTTTCGTTACTTCGTTGGACATTTCTTCGAATGCCTTCTCTGTTAGCAGCTCACTCTTTCTAGTTCTTCTTCCTCACTGGATTTTTCCACGCTATACGTTTTCTTTGCTGACAAGCGAGAAAAAATCCGGCTATTTGTTGTGGTGTGAGATACTCGCTCTTGTCGAAGATATTAGAGCCGTCACTATGCTTTACTTTACGCATTGCCTTTTAGACGCTCGTTGGATCTGCTTTTTCCCCAGTGTGTTCTCCAACTTCAAAGACTTCAGTCAGATAGCTTTTCTGCGCCACCGTGAGATTCTTTCTTTGTACTCCTGCTGACTTAAGAGCCCATCCCATCGGTAGCATGGAACCATCATCCTCCACTGACATACGTGCACCTTCATCAACTATTTCTGGTAGGACGCCAGCACCACGCTACAGTTTGGTGGCGTCCATGGTCATTGCCTTGTCGTACAGTGTTTCCTGTTCAAGAGCATACTGGTGTTTACCACAGTCCAGATGTTTTTCTAGCGATGAGTATTGTTGAAAGGACTTGACACATCCCTCTTCTGGACAAAAAAGCAGATATCTTCCTTTGTCTTTACAGCTTTCTTCGTCGTCGCTGTTATTTCTGTTCTGTGGAGCCTCTTCTAAAACCGGTTTTTGCGTTGGTGTACTTCTGGCTTTGGCAGTTTGGAAAGATGCTTCAGCAGTGGAACTCCGTTTCTGTTTGTTTAGCTGAGGAAGGCTCCCAACTTGTGGGCGGAAGTTGCTACAGGGTAAAAATTTGCCAGAGCCAATTCCATAAGCTCTCCAAACATGCAAACCTTCCTTGGTATAGCCAATGTTGTTAATGAAACTAACGCCCTCCCATTTTACTGGAATGGACTTTGCAGTTGGTTGTGGCCTGCTCACCGTCACCCGGACACCAGCAATTCCGCTAGATGACTCAATGGCCTTCATCATTTGTGAGGCTGTCTCTATGTAGTTGCCAGAATTGAGATGGGTGCGCACGTGACTTTTAATTGTAGCGGCCCTACGATCACAAGATCCTTTTCTGCCTTGAGGGTCGGAAAAGTCAAAACGCTCTAGTTCCATTGCATGCTCGCTGGCAACATGGTAGACTGAAAGTAATGTAAACGCGCAATGATAGCATCCTGCGTTATCACTCCGCGTATAAACAGAGTTGACCTCTGGCATGATTTCCTTTAGTTGACGAAAGACGTCATCAATAATGGCTAGTACAGTGGAGCTTTCCTGTTTACAGCTTTCGAAGGCATGAAAGAAAGTCAACAATTCAGTTTAATTGTTTACATTCCCTCTCAATGCTACACTGATATGCCAGGGTATGCCGCGTTTTCCGAACCAGTCGCTTTGGCTTTCAGGAAATTTTCTCAGCAGAAACTTCATCGCCCAGTCCATAACAACTAACATCTGCCTGTGTATCAAGATCTTCCAGAATTTCATGTCTTGCGGAGTCCTGATTTATAGCGCCAACAGGGTGGGCCTTCTAAGCTCCAATACTCTGAATTGACTGTGAGATTTCATACTCCAGCTCGTTTCGTTCTTCAGCGCTACAATTAATGCTGCCAATAACTGACCTAACCTTGCGAAATAATGTTGGGAGAAGCTCGCATCTATCGCAGTTTGAAAAGTGTTCATGATTACAGACTGTGGTGTAATTCTTATCTTGAGGATAAATGAGGGCATATGTCCGACAATGATCAGCGACCGTCGAATCTTTAGATACGTGAACCTTAAAAACACAAGTAACTATTGAGTATCTACTAATAAGTGAACATGAAAGCACAATGTACCAACCTGGCATAAGAAAAACGTATACACGGGTAACTTTGACTCTGATATCAATGTTCATAGATTCTAAAATATCACGACACGACATAAGTCATTCCTCGCATTACCTATCACAGTTTTTTCGGCCACAAATTCAAGCACCATAGTGCCAAGAAACTCGGTGTTTCTATTTTCGTTCCATGGGAGAAAGGCATTACGAACATACCAAATATGTCTATCTTTCCAGAATGTTACTGTCTTAAATCCGTTATGGCTTATTATCCCTTTAAGGTACACTAAAGTGGAAGAAAAACCAAGAAAGTTAAAACATCCTCGACAGAAACAATGTTACCCTATAGTCACCTTTTAAGTAGCGTTTCGCTGGATGAAATTTCTCTTTCTGCACCTTGGCCACGTGAAACCTCCTAGATAATTATCTCCAAGCTTGTCAATCGCTTCTTCTAGTTCGTCAAAAGCTTTGGCGCCTGCAGCTGAAACATAGTCCAAACCTTGCAGAGATTTCCTCGCGGATGTGGAACATACACTGAGAACTTTCAATAGGGTGCTGCGACTCATTGGTATAAAGTCTACTTCACTGCAGTAGCTTAGATACTGAGGGACCATATGCTCAGGGATAAGACTTCGAACAACATTGGGAACCTCTATTTCCGTATTTGAGGACAGTTTCATAGTTTTCTTCCCAAAGGGCAAGTCTTGAACTATGTGGGTACTGGTGATGAACGACAAAAAATGATCAAGTTTCTCTGGCGCAATGTACATTCTTGTGCCTTTAACAGATTGTACGTTCGCACCTCTACCGTGGAGTAAGAAATGATGTCTAGCAATGTTGAAACGATACCTGGACAAATCCGGTATCCATCTCTGCAAATCTTTGAAATTCACCTTATCCGCCATGATGGACAAAATCTGCCTTTGAGAGCTCCAATGGCCTGCGTTGTTGTAACATTCGGCCAAACATTCCATAAGAGAGGAGTCGATAGCACTTTCTTCAAGCTTTGATTTAACCAGTGAAGACAATAAAGTCTCAGTCTCCCTAGGAACAATATCATCCAAGCATGCATTAACTACCCGTCGTACCTTTCTAGCAGAAAGCCTTTTTGTTGGCTCGGAAGCCTCTGCCCATGGTGTTTCCAGGGAGTGGTGAATTTGACTTATATCTCTTGAAATCAGGAATTTGTTCAACTTCTCCCTCGTTGACGTTACAGCAATGTAACCATAAACTAATTCAGTAGTTTACGTTAGCTACTTCACAACATGGCTATGGGAAAGTTGAGAAATAACACTTTATCCTGTGAATGGACACTTAGTCAATTGCAATTGTCACGCTTGAATGTTGAACCTGAATTTAAGAAATGTAAAACTCACCAAAGAGCTGTTTCCTTAGCGGTCCGCATAACTCTGGCGACCACACTCCGAAAATACCTTCACCACCCAGAGAAAATTGTGCATTTAGACTGAAAGCAGAGCTCCAGACGTCTACCATTCCCTTCAAGAAATACGCCCCGATCCCCATTTTCGCCCAGCGCACATTAATAATAGTTAGCACATTTCTCAGGTAGCATTTTCAGGTAGCTAGGGAACAACTTAGTGCAAAACATAATCGTCGATGAGATATCCTGAAATACAAGTCCAAGATGCTGAGGACAGTACTTGGTGTCATTGTATTATAGTTTTGGTGTGCACCTCTAAAAATCAGAAACACTGTCAATCTTACTTATGACTTGCTCCTGAATTGCTCGTTTCCAAGTGTCAGCATTGGAATCAACTAACTTACAGCTAAATTCTGCATTAGCCTTATTGTCAGCAGCGGTCACTTGGGAGATAATCAGAGATACTCTGCCTGGAGTTGAGATTTTCTTGAACCGCCCCTTAAAATTTTCATTAACAGCACCAGCTTGTCCATTTGATTGAATATTCACTATACCAGCAACATTGAAATTTAAAACAGCTCCAAATAAACCTGATGTCAGTTTGTAGTTCCATTCCAGTGTAGCAGAATATCTTTCATAAACCCAAACAATGGCAGGGGGAAGTACTTCATTAAGATTCCGTGTTGTCCTCACCAGAGAAGGTTTATACCATGTGACACTTCCACATTCTGAAG